GCAAAAAAGAATTCCTTCCAATTATGCCCACAGCTGTGTGTCCACATAAATAGTTTGAGCCAGTGAACAGGCTGAAATTGGTCAAGTGCTGTAATCCTTGCTCAGCTAAATCTCAAAAGCAAATCAATGGTTTGGGGGATAAATGGAGTTGGAAACAGTACTTAAGGAAAACTTAAGACACTAGATAAAATTCCATAGATCAAGTTCTGAGTAGGGGATTTTTTGTTTTAGGTCAAATTTTCAACTTAAGAAAACAGAGACCTAAAATGGACCAGATGGCACAACTTGCTAAAGGAGGCTGTGATAGTAAATTGGAGACTAGCCAGTAGTTCTGATGATGTCAATTTAAGGAGATTAGAATTTCAAGTTAGAGAGTAGGCTTTGTGCCAGATTTTCCCTTTTTTATTAGGAAAAAAAAGCTTATTCTTGCTGTCCTTTTTGCAAATATGCCTCTAAATGCCTTTAACTATTCATAAATCTTTTTTTCTTTCCCCCAAAACCCTCATCACCATAAACCCCTACATGTTGGGGATTTGTTTTATCAGCGGTCTTAATTCTCTACCTTAAAAATCATTGCTTTTCTAGGTGTTCTGATAGTGTCTTGTATCTTACAAGATCTGCAAGCAGGAGTTTTTCTCCTTTCAGACAGAAACTGTACAGCTGTGTGTGTATTTTTAGAGGTAAAATGAGCGGGACAAGGACACCTCTAGGCCTTCACTAACAGCATCATTTTAAAAAGCTGTATATATTGTACATTAAGACCCACTAGAAGGGACTGAAACTAAAACACATTTATCCTGGGGTTTTCTCCTATCTACTGCTGTCTATCAGTCCTTGCCAAGTCATTTCACTCTTTGTACCAATGTTTTCATTCCAGTGCTTTGTATTGTCAGTGGATGGCTTGCGGTGCAGCGCCGTTCACTTTGTGCTTTGGGACAGTGGTTTTGAGTATGTTGTTTCTTTCACACGTTCAACTAAAGATATGCAGGGCTGAAATCGGCCACACTGACTACATCTGAAATCGTAAATGTAAATAGTAAATAATGAACGCCTCAGTTGCGTGCTGGCAAAAGATGTTGTAGACATACTTATGATGAGCCTATGTTATCTAAGCTGTTGTCGTTTACAGTATAAACCACAGTTTTACAAAATTCAGATTCAGGCCAAAGCACCACTTTAAGCCTACTTAAATCTTATTTGAAAGATTAAGTAGTCTGTAAGGGGTGTGTTGTCTGGGGGTTGTCTGGTGATACAGAAGTTAATACGAGTCACACAGCATAGTAGATCCTGTTTTCTTCCCTAAAAAAAAATCTAAAATGGATTTAACCCATCACTTTCTAAAAGAAATATTTGAATTTAAAATCTGTATATACATATATGTGTGCATATATATAAATATATATATGTGTGTGTGTGTGTGTGTGTGTATAAATTGTATATTTTCATTGTTAAAGCCAGCTGGCATTGAATGAATCAATATAATATTTAAAAAGGTAAAGATAAATTTCATTTGATTTCATTTTACAGTGAATAAAAATATTTTCTGATGCCATTCATGTCATTGCCTGCCTATCCCACTAAGATGCCATCTCATGGCAAGTCAAGATTTAAGATTGTTAGGAGGGCTTGTTGGCTTTGTTGGCAGGGCAAGGGAAATGGAGAGGCAGAGAGGCCTTAAGCACAGCTTTCAAGCATAGATATTGACGCAAAGGATTTTATAGAAGAGAAAATTTATAACAGAAATTTCATCTCAATTAAATTTACACATTGTATATTGAACAATGTAGTCGTGTTGGCTTAAGTTTGTCTGTAGGCAGGCACTTAGCCTGAAGATAAAAGAAAAAGAAGAAAAATGGGATAGGAGCTGGTAGAAAAATGATATTAAATTTGTTGTTGAATTACCATTGTCTCGTAACCTGACTTTGTCTGTTCTACTTTTAGCTGCAGGGAAAAGAGAAGTCACTAGCAAAGTACATGCTAGGACATGTTGTTGTAGTTCAGGAAGAAAATGAAGATATTTAAATCTACTTGCACTTATTTTGCTGCAGTGCCCTTTGTGATCTTTCTTTGTTGAGGGTTTATAATCATCTCTCAGATTTTCTTTTTAACTTTTTCTACCCCAAAACAAAGCACTTTACTATGATAAAGATGACCCAATTAAAATATATGTTCCACTTTTTTGTTATTCTGTGATTGAATTAGTTTAAGTAATTCTCTTGATCAGTACTTATTCCTCTTAGAAAGTGAATGTGTATAAATGTTTGTCTATTGTAAAGAGGTTGTCACAGACCTGAAAAAACAGCAAAAAGGGCACTTCAGTCTGAATGTTATTCTTTGTTTTTAATTTGATTCTGTGTATTTCAACCTCAATTAATTATTTGGCTTCCAAATGTAAAGCCTGTCTAGTTCTTCCCAATATACTATTTAGTATTCAGCCTTTCTAAACTGTCTTCCTAAGGATACAGATTGTTCTCTCCATTCATTTTCTGCACATTTGCAAATGCAGTTGCACAGATTGGGAGCCTTATGCTTCTTTTCATGGCCTTTAATCTCCTCCTTTAAAACTTTTTAATTTCTCTCATCTCTTTGATCACAAATGCAATCAACCCATCATCCTCCCTGCAGGTTTTAAGAGAATCCCAGATTTGTCTAGAAGAGGCAATAAGGGAATTAGAGCTAAGAAAGAAATCAGTCTTGTTCTCTAATGACTTCTTATTTTCTACTGCTGATAGAATGAGAAGATTAAATCTCTGTCTGCAAATCTTGTGAGGACTGTCTAAGAAGGGAAGAAGTGTAAATGGTTAGACAACAACTTCTGCTAGCAAAGGGAAGTGAGAATTTCATTCAGCAGACTTTTGGAATAGAGGAAGTGGTCTGGGATAGTGTAAGCAGCTGATAAGGCATAGTTGAAAGAGTTGCAGAATTCCTCCTAGTTGTGACAGATTGGCAAAAGCATTTGTCATCCCCACTTCCAAAGCGTTTTAGAGGAAAAGAATCTAAAACCGTTTTACTTCTAGGTGCACTATGTGGATCAAGCCTGTGATGGGACAAGGCATTTTTTTTCAGACGAGTTATGGAAAGTTGGGTGCTTTTAAACATGCAAAGATACTCATGTGCTTAAAATTATTAGTCTTGCACTTAAGCCGTGTACTGATCCAGGGCCTCAGCTGACTTGGTAATGCCCATTTAGGAGAAATCTCAATTATTTTATTTAAAGCTCAGAGTTTACACTGATACCCATCTTGATCTAGAAGTAGTTCCACTGATTTCATCAAGGTACTGCCCTGTATATCTTAATTTGTTTTGAAAAAAGCAAGCAAGGAAGCTTATAAAAAGCAACCTACATAAGATGCGTAAAATATAATAGTTATATAAGAATAGTACCCCAATACTAAGGAAGAACACTGCGGGGGAACTTTCAGCTCAGATTTATCCAAATAGTTAACATAATTTTTTGCAAAAAAAAAAAAAAAGGATTGGGGGAGGAAAACAAGTATGCATACAAATGAAAATAGTCCTGAGTGTCTCTTTATTCTGTTCTTGCGCAGTGTCTGACCTGTTAACATTTTACATCCCATTCGGTAAGCGTTCAGTGTTGCCCATTTTATTCCAGTAGTGAAATATGAAGTCACTTTAACTACCACAAGTTAAAATTATAGAATCAAACTTCAGCTTTTCATTTATTTGAGATATAATTTCCTGTTACCAGCTTGCTCAACGTGGTCCATTGCTCCTTTTGAATGCTTTATCTGGGAAAGCTCCATTTCTTTCAGAAACACCAGAGTAGCGTTCTGGTTATTCAATAGTTGCTGGCATTTTGCATTTTTAACTGTTCCTCGAGGATGAAAGAAAAGAAATTAATGGAGTGTTCACGACATTTATTTAAAAAAAAAAAACCCAAACAATACTTATACTTCCTTGAAATGTTAGCTATAGAACATTATGCCCCAAAGGAAAAAACACAATGTTAGCTTGTTACTGATCTTCACAGTTTATGCACAGCTTTCCTGACTTTTATGGAGCTAAGTTTTCATGATAGCCTTTTAGCTGGTCACTGTTTCCCAGTCCTAGAATCATGAGCAGAAATTTATTGCAGATATAGCATAAGTCGCATGGGTCACTAAGAGGCCTAAATAATTAAACTCTGGACACAGGCACAGAAATATATTATGTTGCAGATACAAGTAACCCGTGTTTTCAAAATACACCCATCATTTGCAAAGCACAGAACAAGAGGCTGGATATTCAAAACCAGATCCTAAAGGATTAAATTCAAAATAAGCTCCATATGTGCACAATGGACAAGTGGAAGTGTGCAATTTCCACTGGGTGCTATTCAACCGAAATTTTGATTCTCGATATAGCAGCAGCTTAGTCTGTCCAGCACACATCACATACCTGCATTTCGTTATTGTCCCTAAAATGAAATCCTTTTTCTAATAAATCTTTTAGAAGTATCCAGAGTCCAGAAAGCCCATGTTTTACACAGTTATGAAATCTAGTTTGAAGATTTAAAAAATGCAATAAAACCAATCCTAGTTGTTGATTTTACTGTTTTTCACCAAAGCCTCAATTCTGAAAAGGGTGCAAGAAAGAACAGCGGTCTCAGCAGTAAGTGCTGCATACCATGTGTTGTATTTAACAGCCTACCGTCTTTTGAACTGAAATAATGAAATGTCCTCCAAAACATTTGTGGCACTGAAGTTGCTGTTGATCTTGCTTAGGAACACACTGCTTATATATGATCTTGAATAACATGCATCTCCTTCCCTCTGCCTACCTACATGCACTTTGGCACCTGCAATACGCTGGCCAACGTGACTGTGTTCTTTGTGAGCGCTTCAGCATCTCACGTCAGAAGCTGTGCAAGCGCCGGCCTAGACGCGTTCTCTTGTGCAAGCTATTGAATGGAGCCTGACCGCTGGCTTGTACCCATTGTTCCAGGTGGATTTTGTAAGGATGTTGTTCCGTTAGTGTTAAAGTTTCTTTAACTCTTGCAGATTTTTGACAAAGAAGCTAAAGACCTTGAGCGAGAAGTCTGCTTTATTGATATTGCCAGCGATGATATTCCCGAGCGCTATTACAAAGAATCAGAGGTAAGAGACAACTTGACTATGAAATAGTGGAGATGAGGACTTAAGAGGCTTCAGTAAAGTGGCATTTATTTGTCATTGTTAGAATTTTTTTCCTACCTTTAATCATTACCACAAACTCTCAGTATCAAGAATGCCTTCACCATTGCCCACATTAAATAAAAATGTAATGTTTTCATAACTAGTAGACAAGATTTAAAAATTAAAAATGCAGTGGTGTGTGCAGTCAGCTTACCAGAAACAGATGCTTCACAGCTGATTTGTTTTACATGGCCTCCATAATCAGAATCTGAGATTTTAAGATGTTCATCATAGTCTTAAAGAGCTGTCAGAAGTGCTTTCTCAGGGTCATGGGCAGAGATAGGAATCAAAGTAACTTTATTCTTAAATGAAATTATGCTGGTCAATAGCGTTTAAAGAACTGTTGATTAGAGGGAAGCTGATAGCAGCCTCTCTATCCAGACTGCCTGACACTTTCTTCTAGAGGTGATTCCTGCAACCTTTTGAAATGCTTTTATATCCTCAGTCTCTGTACCAGGCCTTTGATGTTCGTCTGAATTCATTCAAAGCAGAAAAAGATTTTTCTTTGAACCATGAAGCTCAGTTAAGTGTTTGCAATTCTGAGCAGTTTTAAACATTACTGTTTTCCTTATTTGCATCCCACCCCAGCTAATAACTAATATGAGCACTGTAAGCCCAGGCAAAGGGCAGACACGCTGCAGTGAGAGTAGGGTTGCACAGTAGCTCAGGCACAACCAGGACACAAGACCATGAGGGACCAGAACATACTACATACTGCTGCAAATCTGCAAAAAAGCACCAATGGCAGCAGTCACATTAACTCTCTTTAAGTTCCCTTGAAAACCGCTCCCATGTATATTTGATAGTGCACATCTCTGAAGACTGTGGCTCTTTTAGGTCAATGCAATTCACTATTTTGAAATAAGCAGCAACCATGGAAATGAAGCTGCGGTTTCAATGTTTTAACCTCAAATTTGAAAAATGATGGTTCAGAACCGGTAGCTAGAGAGAGGAATGATCAGATCTATGCTTGCATTTCATTTTGGAGATATGATTTGCCTCTGGAGCCAAGTGCATATTCATAGCTGGCAGTGAGTATGGCAGCTGCTTAACTGCACAGAACAAGACTACACAATCATTTTTAGGATAGAAAATGAAGACTTGCCAATGAAAATATTTCTGTAACATAAAAGACATGATTTTCAGGCTCAAAAAGTAATGTACTCTTTATCTTCTATTTAGAGATCCTATTTTCAATATTTAAGTACTAGTCATAAAGCGAAATTTGGTCTACAATGGAATGAAAAGTATTTTTTTTAGTTTCATTAGATAATGAAACCCATCTGTTATGTATCAAAAATTATGTAACACCTCATGAAACAACTTACTGGTTCCATCATATTATCTGAACTCCATGGTTTTCTGGTCTATTTAGGAATGGCAGCTGCTATTGAACTGGTCTGCATTTGGCCATGTTTTAAAGAAATCATGTAAGATTTTTCATCTCAGTTTATGCACGTCCATAAATTCTGAACATACAGGTAACATCTAGCTTTTAAGCTTTCCTATTTTTTAATAGTCAGCTATTAAACCTAGTTTTCATGTGATTAAACTTGTGATATAGAAAAACAGCTGCATGTTAACTGAGAACAGAATTTCCACGTCTGTGTGTTGTATTTCAAGGACAAATCTAGAGACCTGATTCCAAGCAAAACAGAATTTCTTATATGTTTTTAGACAGCAAAAATAGCCCCGCGTCTGTTATTTTTTCTTGACTGATGCATAATTTATTTGTTGGCTACCAAATTCTGTTTCAGATTTCATACAAAATGATGAGAACATCATAGCATTTAACTGTGCACATACTGTAACTGATACTGAATTTATAATAGCTGAATTCAAGATCTTCTAAAGTTTATAAACTATGTGGGTTTTTTATGCTACCATATGATGAATATGAAGACAGATTCTCATTTCTCCTGAGGCCTCTTACATAATTTAGGCACTATAAAAAGGCTTTCTAGTGTCTGTAAATGTAATTTCTGTCCATTTTCAGTCTGCACAGTTTTAAAAAGTATCTTTATGTAAATGAGAAACTGTTTTTCAAATAGTATTTTCAGAGAGAATTAAAAACAGTTAACTAAGCTTTTCAATGGTATTTTACTTACACTAATAAAATAAGTTGGCTGCTCTTAGATCATTTAATCTAAATTGATACTAAGGTGATTAACAGTGAAGTACAGTCCTCAGGATTTAAGAATTAGATCCCACAGGATAAGTATTCTGACTCGGATCCAGAAAAAACACTGAGAATGATTTTAACTTTAGGCACGCTAGTAGTCTCTTCATTTCAATGGACATTTCAAATGCTTAAAATCAAGCAAGTCCTGTATCAAGGTCAGCATGCTTGGCACCTTCTTGAAATAGGCTCTGTATTTCTTTTATATCCTGATTAAAATGTATCCCTTTTCAATTAATAATATACTTCAGTTTTTAGCTGCAGTTTCCGTTATTTGTACTATTGTACGATAGTGCACTGTAGTGTACTATTTTGGAGAAACAGTTCATTTAAACCTTTCACACGCTACTTAAACTGCTTGCTTTTTGTTAGTGTTTATGAGATTGTTTGTACAGGTGGATGGCCATTTCTTTTCTGATGTGATCAAACAGCACTAGTATTTGAATTGTGTATTTTTAGCTTTAAAGTGTTCAGCTGTCCTTGGTAAGCTGTTCGTGTTATATATCATAAATTTTTTCAAGGTCCTCTGCATGAAAATCCCCCTTCTACAATTTCACTGTGACCTTTCTTTGAGTTTGTGCATCAAATAACTCATTGGTTATGACAAAATGAACCACAGTAACTTCAGTGTTGTTTTTCTCATGTATATAAACAGGAGATAGGCTTGTGTATGTATTACACACAGATATCATTAATAGAAGTAATAATATTGCAGTTACCACAGGAGGCCTCAGGAGAGATCAAGGGACCCATAGCACCAAGCTCTGTGCAAACAAGAAAATCAACGTTCTCTGCTTGCTGGAACCTATGGTCTGAAAAAGTATTTTTCAGTTGCACTGACATGAATCTTATAAACAGGTCTATGTTTTTCCTTTCATTGTATCTTACATAATACGTGAGTCCTACGTGAAAAGACAAAAAGCATAAAACAACTTTTCCATAAATATAATATCCCATTTGAAACCCGTAGTTCATTTTGACCTGTGCTGATACTGATCAGGCAGGAGATGTGATCCATGAAACACTTCTCTTTTTCCCTGCCTCATAAATATAAACTAAAATTGAAAAGGCAAAAATATAGCTAGCTAGAGGCTTAAGAAGGGCTGTGTCACTGAGGAACATTTTAAAGGAATCTCTACCAATAATATTGCATGATGTATCTGAACTGCCTAAAGAACAGAGGGCTTATCCTTCAGTGCATGCACAAAAGCACTTAGCTCTCCAAATAAAAAGTGAATCAGAAGACAAAGCTTTTTTACAGACAAAGACCTAAACATCCTTAAACTTGGAGATGCTTGCATCTGGGATTCAGAAGCCAAGAAAGTGTAAGTCTGGATCCAAACTAACTGGTTTGCTTTTTTTCTGTAATTAGGCACACGTTTCCAAATCTGCATGTACATATTACATTGAATACAGAATTATGTATTGTTGTATGAAGAACGTAGATGCGTACGAGTAAAAGGTGCTGTCTCACTTCCTTGTGATTTTATCATCAACGAATAAGCATCACCAACCATCATGTATTCCCCATATAGACATATATAGTCATCTGAATTATAGAAGAGAATGAAACTGAGCTGTGATGAAGAACGAGGGCCTCAAGTGAATCATTCACTGAAGTGCAACATTTACTGTCGATCTGAGCTATTGAGCAAAATGTTTTTGTCACCATATTCAATTTCTCAGAATTAACAGTGGTTCATTTCCTGTTTGTAACAAAGCAGTTGAGAGTTGGATACAAGGAATAAAGTTCTTAAGTTACCTCCAAATAGCAGCATCTCATGCAGCTGCCACAGTTTTTTTCAACTGATGTCTTTTTTGACTTTAACACAGCTGCACCATAATGGATCCAACTTATTACTGTCCAGATGCATTCAGAATAATAAAACTCCTTTTACATTACAGGCCCAGAAAATTATGATAATTGAAACAATACTGCTGCTTCAGCCCCCACGGTGAAAGTTTGTAACATTTCAGTACAGTAGTTCAGCACGGGATACAGCAGAAACAGATAACGGATGAAATTTTCCTTGTACTAACTTGAGTTGAGAGTCTACATAAAGGCTGGCTGGTTTATCGTATGCCACACTTGCATTATTTTCTGATGACAGTGGTTGAATTTCTATTTAGATCCACTCCTATTATTAATAACTATGTCCGCTTTTGAGGTGTCATAGCAGAGGGAGATAAAGGCTAACCAAACCATTTTTACGTCAGCATGTCTTTCCAGAGCACTAGCTTTGTAATCTGAAATCCAACACCTAGCTACTGCACTGATGGTGAAATGCCAGACTACATACATTGACATCATGAAGGATTAAAAATTAAAGATTGAGCGAATTAAACTTAAAAGTTCATCTTCAGTTTAAAGTAAAAGAATTGATTACACTTCAGAAAAATATTAGTGGAATATATTACAATGGGAGTTTGAAAAAAAGAATCTATGCGTTAATAAGGAAGAAGGAAGAATCCTTATTTCTGGTCATCTGGATAGCTTCCGATAAGAGAACAGGATGCATGGTGTAAGCACAGTGCACTTTCACTGCTGGAGACTGTATTCAGCTTGAGGATCTTTTCCATGCTAGAATGACCATACAACTAGCAAGTAATTTTCCAGACAGAGCAGTGACTAGGTTAGCAAGGTTTTTCATGCAGACTTCCAGGGTACACACAAAGGGAGCCTTGTCAGCAGCTGAACAGTGTGGGATCTTCAGCTCGTGACTGATACTGTGGCAAAGCTAAGGGAAAGCTTGCACATTAACATTTGTAAGATTTGTGAGTTACGTTCCTATAAACAATGAACGCATTTAATGATTTAAGTAAAAAATAACTAACAAATAACATTTCAGAATTTAATCTGGACAGGAATGTAGCCACTGCAACACCCCAGGGCTGTATTGTCAACGTGTAGGTGTTTGCCTCCCGGACAGGCGTGTACAATCCCACATCCGACGCCTGTGATGCCTGGGCAATTCATGAGGAATGTTAAGTGCCAACCGGTGCAGTCTCCAACATTCAGGGTGCTGAGCTGGGAACCACGAGAGGTGGCCTCAGAAAGAAACACTGGGAGAGTGCTGTTTGAAACCCTATTCCATTACACTGTGGCTTTTATGTAATTTTTATTTTATTTTATTTTTTATCCTCAATTAAGCCCAGCTCATGGGTAGTGATATTTCTGCTATGTTAGTAGAAGTACTATTTTTAAATCATTATGTACCTGGCACTAGGGCATTGCAAAAACGGAGTATTTTTTGCTCCTCTGTAGCAAAAGGATTTGCCAGATGGGCTTTCTTCATAAACTGAGTCTGATAAAAAGAAGGATAGGTTATCTAAGCAAAAAGATTTTAGCTATGCCATTAGCTTTTAAAACAGATTGAAGATTTTGTCAGTAGACAGATTAAGAGGAAAATAGTGAATAGAAGTAGTATTATTCTTTAGGCGATGGATTCTCTAGAAAGGAAGACAAAGGTGGCTATAAATTAATGCTCTAAATAAGAACATAAAAATGGAGTCAGAGAGATCAGTTTGCCCAGTTTCCTGTTGCTCACAGAAGTGCTTCAAACTCATGTGTGCTGTAATTCCTGGCCCAAAGAGTCATGCTCCTTTCTCCCTAGCTCAGTGCCTCTGGAATAGGTTTTGCAAATTGCTGTGCCTTTCACAGGAGGAGTAAAGAACGTGCGTGATCCCGAACAGGCAGGTATTCAGTGCTCCTCCTGGGACCAGTGAGATGTGAGCATACAGCATGAGTCTACAGCATGCATGCCTCACATGAGTGAGGCAGCATGTCCTGCCTGACTCTTCTATCTGTGAGCTGCAGCGTAAAAGTAGGAGGAAGAGCAATGCTTCAGCTCCCCATGAATTGAGTATTAGCTCATTTAAGCAAACACTCAATAAAATCTTTAACATCTTGATCTTTAACATAGCAGCCTGGAAATATATTTCTCTGAATTTTTACTTTTTCCTATCTTTCATTCGCTGACTTACAGTTATATAGTATCAATATATTAATGTTTTCAGAAAGGAAGGAATTCCCATAAAAGCTATTAGATATTCGTTGCCCATTCTGTCCATCACTGCCTGGCTCTTTGCTTGAAACTGTTCAGCCAATTTCTGACTAAACATTATGTCCTTCAAGAAAAATGGACATGGCCATCTCTGGGATCTGTTAAAAGAATTTGCATCTGGGAGTGATGCCATGGATAAACTGCATTGCTGTGGATGGATTGTTTGTGGGCCATCAATTTAAGAAAGGTTTCCACTATGAATCCCCTTTTCTGCTGGGCTACCTTTACCAAAAAAAAAAAAAACCCAAAAAACAAATAAAAACCACCTCACACTGTTTTCACAGCATCTAGAGGGTTTGAACAAAACATAGGTCTCGCGCATGACTGAAGAGTCATGCAATGTACAATATTTAATTTTTATTTATAAATTCTGAAAAACTTGACGCTGAGTCAAATTCATTACGTTAATCCCTTTGGACTGCATTGAAGTTACTCCATTACAGAGCTCGTTATCACTGAAGGAATATAAAGTATCCCTGCATAACACTCAATAGTATTAAAGTGCATATCTGACGTGCTTTTATTTTTCATTTTTTACTATACTGCTTGCTTAAGGCAGTTAGCAGTTATAAGACGGCTCTTTTCAACTGGAAAATATCCAGATCAAGCTGAGGTCAAGCTTTATTGAATGAGAAGACTAGCAAACATCATGTGACTATGAGTTTGTGATATACAGTGGTATGTTGCTCTGATATATGATGACACTGAATTGTTTTTTACGGTGATTTAAAGGTGAAACCTTATTATACTGCAAGCTTAAAATTTCTATGGAGGAAAGACTGTGTCAGCAATAAAAGCAATGACTTTCACCCCGAGAAGGAATACCATCAGCTCTTTAAAGCTTGATAAAGAAGGTTTAATGGCAGAGCTTCAGTTTGTGACTAAAATCAGAAGCCAAGTCAGGAGAAAACTATAAACACCAGAAAAGAGAATGCCACTGAATGAAACATAAGTTCACACCAAATGGCAGAAGTCAGTGGAAGAATGTCATCAACTTGATGATGACTTTTGATGATCAAATTGTTTGTTTTTCCACTGGTCATATCCTACTTAGCACATAATTTAAGCACCTACTTAAAAACATGATGAACTGTTTTTCTAACAAGGGATGGGTTTAAAAGAAAATCTTCCCAGATCTGGGCTTTGGGGAAAGCAACACAGATGAGTACTGGCATTTATTCTTAAATAAATAAGATTTTAGAAGATACACTATGAACTCAGTAAAACTTCATTATTTTCAAGTTCTGGAAAAATCAGTGTTTAACTGTAAATTATTTCTATTTACAAGATGTAATTAGGAGGAACGGACATAAGGTGAAATGCAATCAAATTAACATATCAAAGGGAAAACAACACTTATTTCTTGGATAGCTAGAAGTGCATTTTGTATGGCTAAAAGTAAACCTTAAGGATGAACTAATGTTCTTATTTCTTCTTGCGGAAAATTTATTTTTATTCTCAAACTTCTTAAATTTAAAACTAGTTTGAAGGCCACAGGAACCCTTGTTATTTTAAAGATTTACAAAAGGTGTAATATTGTGGCTTTCTATAGCTGTTATTGTTTTGGCCTTGCTGCTGTAATTTCAACACCAATTTATGTGGTTTTCTCATTAGTCAAAGCTGATTTTGAAACTACAGTCCTTCAAGGGTTTGCCTAAAGATACCATAACTGAGTTGTTACTGGAGATGGCTAAACTGGAGAAGTTCCGTACTTATCTGGTCATCTGGATATACAATTTCACTTAAAATTATAAAGTTGCTTTTCCAGGCTAACATCAGTGTTGATGTGTCAAAACTAAACCTGGACATGATTTTCAGGAAGACAGGCGTGGCTAGAAAGTAACAATAAGTCACACTGGGGAAGCTGTGTAAAAGCAAGCTCTGAAGAAGCAACGTTTTTTTTTTTTTCCCCTCAAAAGGCCATAAATAACACTTGGAGTGGGTTGTATTGGAATGACTTACAGTATCATATTTTCCCATAGCAGAAGATCTTCTAGGTGAAATTAGCTTTAAAGCATCTCCAAGAATATACTGCTGTCATCAATTCACTGGCCTCTGCATAAAAGAGAGGATTTGGTTTTATTACATCCTGGTGTTTCTTTAAGTAGATTTCATACTACTTTTTTATAATGTTTGTTAACATGTTTTCATATTTTATGTTTTATTAAAACATTTACTTTAGCAAAATGACAAACAGGACTTCCTGCTCAGGATTTCTGAATATATTTTCCTTGTTTTTCAGGACCCTAAATATTTCAAGTCACAGAAGACTGGGAGAGGTCACTTAAAGGAAGGCTGGAGAGAGACTCATCAGCCAATTATGTGTTCCTACAAACTTGTGACTGTGAAATTTGAAGTTTGGGGACTTCAAACCAGAGTGGAGCAATTTGTACACAAGGTGGGTGCATAGTTGTCTCTCACCCTTCACATGAGCAGAACTTGAGTATTACCTTGCGTGTGTACGGCTGTGTTGGAGCTAGGGAGATGAGCTGAATCTGCTTTCAGGCCTCTTTCAAGGTCCGAAAGATCTGGAGCGCTGCTGAAGCGTGCATCTCCACATATAAACTTGCCAAAGTCTGGAGTTGCTGAGGTCTAAGGCTGAGAACAACTAGCACTAGCATTTTCAATGCTGTGATAAATAAATTATTAATTTACTAATGAATAATAAATTATTTATTAGTATAAATTAGTAATTTACATATAACAATGAGGTGCAGGGTTTCTTCCAGACAGATAGTGGGAGAGTTTTCCAGTCAGTCTACTAAAGAACTAATGAATGGCATAACTACCAAATGATAATGTTTTTCAGAGTACTGACCTTTCATATGTTTAAAAAATTAACAGGGAAAGGGAAAAGAGTTCCAATCTGTTTGCCCAAAGATTAATGGATTCTGAACCCATTCCCAAGTTGCTTCCCATGCTAGTTAAAGCCATGTGGACCCGATCTGATGTTGGCAATAGTCCTACTCCAAGTGGGAGGTTGGACAATAAGACTTTCAGAGGTCCCTTTCAGTCAGTATTTCTATGATTCTGTGATTCCTTAGTGTATGTCTTTTTAGAGACAAAAGTGTCAGAATATTTTTGACTTTAAATCCTGTTGAAAAAACAATAGTGTTACTTTCCTAAAATGTTTTGCTGCTCTAAGGGTATTTAACCTTTTCTATATTTCACAGGTGGTCAGAGATATACTATTGATTGGTCACCGGCAGGCTTTTGCCTGGGTTGATGAGTGGTACGGTAAGTCTTCTCCAAATTAAACACACTTAAAAGGGCTGATCCAAAGCTTATGAAACTTAACGACAGATTTCCATTGGCTTTCATAGACCATCAGGTCCTAATACAAATATAAGTTGTTCATGAAAGAGTTGGAATTACATTCAATTTCTCTGGAATATATGCAGCTCATTTACAGTAGGTTCTTTATAACAAGAGTAGGCTGTATTTTAGACAGCCAGTGGGCATTATACAGGGCCCTCTGTATATCCCTGCACCTTGGAGTACATGCATCTGTCCAGTCACCCTGCATTTTAGGCAGATGGAAGCTGTCCCTGCAAAGAGTCATCTACATACTGAGGATAGCAGGCAGGTTTGAATAAAGCTTCTTATTCAGACTGTAGTAACATGCAGTCATTTCCATACTGCAAACTCTTTTAAGGCCTCCATCCAACACATTTTCAGCGTTTCAGGAAGGTTTTAAACTGCTAATGTAGACCACAATAAAGAAACGATGGAGCTTTAAAGTTCCTTTCTGAAAAATGGATATTAATATAAAACCTACTCAGTCTGATTCAACAGCAGCTGCATGCAAAAACTGCTCTGAATCCTGGCACCCCCTGTAGGAATGGGCACTTTGAATGGTACAGGGTAATTCTGAACGTCAAAACAGCCAATTATATTTATCACTGTACAATAAGCTCACGTGGTTAATTCTTTTTACATACATTTTCAGTAAGATGTATCCATAATCATAGATACTTGTAGAACAGTTTCTAAAAAATTCTTGTAACATAGAATAGCAGTTTGGGAACCTTTTTAGGTTATTTAGCCCCTGCTTAAGCTTCAGGGGAACACTGTATGGGGCAATTCATGGATAAGAATGACACCTGCCTTTCATCAGAACTCAGAAACATTCAGCATTGCTTAGATATACAGTCCGTTATCCCAGCTGGTAAAAACACATCGTCAGTGACTTCATAAACCTGCATAATTTTACACTAGAATCTAACTATAACTTGATTGTGCTGAGTACTTGAAATTATAGAAAAAATTGTGTTTGAAATCATAATTTATCTTATTACACATTTAATAATGCATGAGAAAGCTTGTACTGTAATGATCTTAAAAATACTAAAATTCACTTTAAAAGATCTTTTTTTATTTGCAGATAGCCATAAATGAGTAAAAGACTTTTGTATCCAGTGAGAAAAGAATTCTAAAGAGATTTGAATTATTTTTTCATTTCTTCCCCGAAATGTAGTGATCCACTATTATCCCTATACAAACCTAAGTCATCTGTATGCATTCATTGGGATAAAGACCTTTGAGAACGGTATTCCTTTATAGTTGTCCGGAATATACCTCTGCAGAGGTATATTTTCCCAGCTAACTGAGAAAAACTTAGAAATTACGATATTTTCCAGGGTGATCACTTGAGATATTTTCTAAATTGACTGTTTTCAGCTGTCAGAGATTTTTCAGAACATTTCCAATTATGTTCAGTTTTCTTTCATATTTAACTATTTCCATAACATTAGAGCTCTATTTCTTTTCCATAAGCTGTGATAGGTCTTTATGTGTAATGTGTTCTGACTTTATGAATACGATACAGTAATCAAAGAAGGTACAAAGAAATTTTAACTGATGACTTTAAGTAAATATAAAGCATCCTGGCATCACACAAAACTTGAGCCCATAAATCTGCCCAAAAATATGTATTAAAGCAAGACATAAAGAAATGTTATTGAGATACCTAGAGTCACCTGCACTTCTGAAGAGTTCTTGATGTAGAGCACAAGTGAGTAATTATAAAATTTAAACATATGGGATCAGTTTAGCCCAAAAAACAATTAGCTACAAATTCCCTACCTTCCCTCTGAATGCACCCTACCAAAAATACTCTTTCCATACATTAAATATTGCAATACACAATTATCTTGTGGATTTTTACTGTCATGGTGAGAATACTTACTAAATAATATAGCGTGATTTTAGTACTTAACTGTCAGGTTAAGTACAAAACCTAAAAAAAATCTGAGCTTACTAAAATAAATATGAATAAAGGCTAAACATATAGCAAGACATATAAAAAAATGAGAGAAAAAGTGCAGAAGGTTAATTTAGGCAACCGCCTGTACTGTCTGCAGCCCATGTAGCCCTGCATTGTTTTGAAGAATAAAACATGGTAAGGCTCACTGACTAGGAACTGAGTATTTCAATATTCAAAATTACTGAGATACATTTTGTATACATCCAGTACAATTTAATACATTTGATCTGTAACATTCTTTTGGTACTGTTTTTGACATGTGCATGGGTGTGGGGAGAGTTTTTTAAAAATACCATTTTTAAAGTATCTGTGTGCCTTCAGTGTGTCTATCATCATCTTCTGAAATAAAAGTTCAAGGAAGATTCTGAGAAGATGTAAGTCAGCTAAACTGAATCAAATAATTAGTTTCCTAAAATCAATTATTAAGCAGCATATTATGTTACTGTTGCAAGTATGAATGGTTTTTGTCATTAAATTTACTGAACTGTATTTAGCTTTAACATTAAGAAAATCTGTTTTCACAGTGTCATTTACTAATAAAAAGCATGTTCTCTGCTTGGCAAAAATGCATCTCAGCATGTTCTTTACATGGCTTATGAGCTTGGTTTTTATTCCAGATAACAGTAAAAGAATAGGCTGAAAGAATGTTACTGTTGCTCCATGTTTCATTTTGATCAAAGTTTTACACTGCACTTCATTTTCACTGATAAGGTATTACATTGTCGTACTGATAAAACAGCTGAAGTCATATCTTTCCTTAAAAGCAGTCTTGTGAAGCAGGAGCCTCGTATCGTGTAACAAGAAGTGGTGTGATATAAGATTTCACAAATCCAAATGACACATAATGAACTTGGGGGAAAAATGATAATCCCAAGAACTGAAATGCAGTGTACATTACTAGAAGTGGTACATATTTTGGAGTAATTTTAGATTAATTGGATTCCTTTTTTACTAAAAACATGATTTATGACAAAAACATTTTAAAATCCCTCACAATTGCTGAGAGTTATATAGCAACCATTCACCAGTTTGACATCAGGCATGCCTAGGCAATGCTCAACGATCATATCAGTAGAATCAGCCTGATTTGTAGAATTTTTATAATCCATTGAATGGTTTGAGGCCACAAAATTATTATAAAGTGTTCACTAGTAATCCACTTACCAGTGTAACTAAGTGTTAGTTTCTGGAATTTAAGCTGACTGTGCTTTAACGTAAAAGAGTTTGCTGGTTATGAGACATAATACCATGCAAAGGTAACCTTATAAAATCCTTTTGAAAGTTCCTGGAAAGGTAAGTCTTTATAATGTTTTTATATCTATGTTCTATTCCAAGGGATCTTCTAAAATCTTTTTAGAAGATCTTGGCCTTTGCCAAGACCTGCACTTCAATATTTTTTGCCTATCTTATGTGACACAGATACTCCTAAACAATTTCCACTCCTTCTTGTTCTCTGACTCCCTTTGACTTAACCTTCTTTATACCTTCCTTGGCTGATATAACTACCTTTATGAGTCAGTTTTCATAAAGCTAGTTGCTCCCTGCTTTTTTTAATCCTTTTTGGCTTCTGCTGAAAGGCTTATGTATTCCTAGAACCTTCTCCTTAAAAAAAAACGTTTTCACTGAATCAATGGAAAATGCCAACGATTTTGAACTTTTTACAGATATGACTATGGATGATGTTCGAGAATACGAGAAAAATATGCATGAAAAAACCAACATTAAAGTTTGCAATCAACATTCATCTACTGTGGATGAAATAGAGAGCCATGCCAAAGCAAGAGTATGTCAATTTTTAAAACATATTGCCTGCTCTCAGCTAATATACCTGCACAGATCAGAGAAGAGCAACCAACTTTCAACCAACTGATCTTGCTGACCAATCAGTGCGATTTTGGAGAATTTTTGCTTCAATAGGAACAGAATCTTTCTCCAGGAAGTGCAATCCTGCATTGCCTTTGCACTGTAAACTGCCACTGATGTAAGAAAGGGTGGGGTTGGACTCATACACAACTCCCTGTCTTCCAGGAAAACAAAATTCTCAAATTTCAGTTGGATGCCTAAAGGGGAATTTAAGTATCAGTTTTACCTTCTATTGTTTGAATAGTTTAAAAGTCATGCAAAAGTTCAGAGTGCATTAGTCAAAGAGCCAAGAACATGGAGAGTGGAAAATTTCTGTGGGACTGATAAAACAGTTTGCTTCACCAGGAAAAAAATCTAAGGGATTATTGACTTATTTGAATATAATTTTAATGCTGTCGTTGATTAGCTACCAACAAGGTGGGAAGAAGTATTTTCAAAAATACATAGCTGAGCAGTTTGTGGGGAGGGGCAGGTTTCTATGTAGGTGTTTTCATTCAGATTCTGGAAACTCCATAAAGAATTTAGGTTCCTAACTTAAGTATCTAAATTAGATGCCTGGAGTTGGAAATTATTAGTATCTGCAAATAAAAGAAATACAGTGACCTTTGCTTTTAAAAATATTATTTTTCTTTTGTTTCTACTAACTGAGCCAGAGAACTCAGTGATGGTTTTACCCATGTACTGAGTATTGGGCAAGGCATTAAGGGCTAAATCTTAAATCCTGAAGTCTTTCCGTTGATTTTATTCAGTGAAAGTTCTCACCAGTCTGAGAAGATGTTAAGCAATACCTAGGAGGTTTATACTTGTATTTATATTGCTGCAATACCATTAACATCAAGGTTACTCCTTACCCGATTACTGAACTGAGAATCAGTTCTGACATTGGCTCTACATTCCAGGATTTAGCTTTGAATAAAAAGTCTGCCATTCTTAGTTAGTTTGCATGTAGCAAAATTGCCATTGAGGTCAGGACAGAATTTGTTATTTATGAGTGGAAAAAAAAGAGGGAGAGAGAGAGAGAGAGAGAGAAGTCACATATTTCTGCATACATCTTAGCTCAGGGTAAGGATTACTTTTACTTGAGTGATTATCAGCACGGAATTGAATTTGAAGAGAGCATAAGCTAAAAAGCAAAACTTAACTGAAGGGGCAATGAGTAGTTCATGTCTGAGTTTAGAATGGACTGTCCTGGAGGATACCACTTAAGCAAGACTTTAATCGATCTTTTTTTCTCTTTAATGGCCATTAAACTGAAAAATCTTCCTGTCCAATTTCACTCTCTTTCCTTCAAGACAAGTTTTGTTATTTTTTTGTACAGAAGTCCTCAATCAAAAAAATAGCTGAAGTGAATGCATGGTCTCCCTCTGATGTCAGTGTGCTTTTGAATGATTCAAGTTCAGAAACACTACATGCACTGTTTTAGAGTGAAACAAAATGTAAATGAGCAAAACAGGTTCAAATCTATCTCCAACAAAAGTAGGTACAGTTCCTCTGAGACCATCTGTTTTATTTCCACCACTTATCTCAGCTTTGAAAATAGCTTAGTCTTCACTCCTAGTAACTGGCACTGCTTTGTAGGCTGAAAAAGTCCCTGGGATGTAATCTAGAGGGAAGAGAGAAGGCAGCTGGCAACATGTGTGGTTTTGTTAATTTAATATGATGTTGTAATACAACATAAAGCCTCTTTCACATAACATTTTGCAGCCAAGGCTACAGATGCATGCAGCTGGGTAATATTAAAAAGTGTCAATGTACTGGAAGTGTAGGATTTTGCCATACATATGGTAAATGCTATTGCCAGTCTATGTTTCAGACACCCAAATGTGCAAGAATTTTAAATTGATTAAAAAGTTAGTATTTTTATTTCTGGTTTTTGAGCTTTCAGAGCTCAGAGAATCTATAAACTGCTTTTATGAGACCTGACTGTCCAGTATTACTCTGGACTCTGTCTTGAAGAAAGAAGTGCCAAATAGCACGAGATCTAGAATGAAGTCATACCAATTGAAAGCACTCGTAAGGAAAGAATAGAGAATGGTAGTAGGAATGTATTTATCAGTGAGTACAGACGCTCAGTAAACCGTGTTCCCTGTTGCACGATTATGGAACGTAAGTTATCCCCATCCTACCACACTCTACAGGTTTCTTCTTTCCCCCTCAACATCACCTGAGTCATCCTTACAGGGGGTCCTGAGTGTGGAGCTGGGGAGCAGCAAGTAAGCAAAACTATCATTCATACAGAAAGATACATGTCAGTACAGAAGACTGACATTCATACAGAAATGTTAACAGAACTCTGTTGACTGCTTGACTGCTTTTTGAAAAATACCTCCCAAGGGTCTTATCATTATTTAGGAAAAAATAGCGAAAACTTACAAGGGATTTTATTGGACTTTTTGACCGTGCCTTTTTTCTGTCTTGTAGTAGTCAACTGTTCCAAGCAGAGACACTGTTTAGCAGATAACGATTTTCTCTGTTCTAGCTGGGGTAGATTTGATATGCTGAGTTTCATTCTGTGAATCCTTCAAATAAATTCACTAATCTAACATGATGTTCAGTGAAAATCAGTAAATTTATTTGAATTGTCACAGTGAACATCTTACAGGCAATGCAGACAAGAACCAGTGAATTTAAGATCTTGCTGATTTTTTTGCTCAGTGTATCCGTTTGTAGCGGATGTCATTCATTCAGGATATTATTAGAAAAGTTTTGCATCGCTCAGCTTCAAACACGTTTATTGTGAGATAGCTCTGCCCTCTTGTGGGTTTCTACAGCACTGTGACACATTTGTCACGCTCACTGCTCTTAAAGCAGCAATCTGTGGTTCTGCTTTTCCATTGCAAAGTGGCTTTAACCAGTCTCACCTACTCTCATTTTGCATCTATTTTCCAGGGAATTAAGAAGCAGTGGATTTGTCAGTTGCCCATAAATATTTAAGTATTGCTTCTGGATGGGAAAGTTAGAAAGTGGGTTGTGGCTTTATCAAATCAGAAGGAATTCTTTAGGCTTTATTAGTGGAAAGGCATACTGTCCTCAGGCTGCATGCAACTGCAACTAGAAATCAATGGAAGCTGTGCTTGAGGGGAGAGAATTTTTCATCCCTTGATAATTACAGTAAGCAAACAATGTAACTGTGCTGGTGCCAGCCCTTTATCTGGTTCCTGCTCACAATCTAGATCCAAAAAAAAACTTTCTATCAGTTTTCTTTTGTTTAAAGTTCAGAAAAACGCTACTTGCTTTCCCTGTATCTAAGTCTATTCTTTAACTGCCAGCAAAATAGCTTGATTTTTCTAGCAATTTCAGAGGTAGCACTCTTTATTCAGTTCAGATGCAGGAAGAAGAAGTATTAGTATGTAATTAACATACCTAACTTCCAGTTTTTTTTAAACTGGTTGCTTATTTTACTCCAATCAATGCATTACAATAGGGAGCCACTCATATGGAGAATCATTTAGCATAAGCATGATAGGCATTCATTTCCTGATTTAGAATTTGGACAGAAGTAGTTTAACTGAGTTAATGAAATCATCATTTGAAATGATTCTAACTTGCCATTTATCTTTCTTTTCTTCTTGTTGAAGACATGACAATGGATGAAGTCCGAGAGTTTGAAAGAGCAACTCAGGAAGCTACCAACAAGAAAATTGGGATTTTCCCACCTGCAATATCTATCTCTAACATTTCCATGCCTTCTTCAACCCGCAGTGCTCCATCTAGTGCTCCATCTACTCCTCTCTCCACAGATGCTCCTGAATTCCTAACAGTTCCCAAAGAGCGGCCTCGAAAAAAGTCTGCTCCAGAAACTCTCACTCTTCCAGATCCAGAGAAGAAAAACTTTTAAATTTAACCCAGCATGTTTCCTTCTGATAAGCCATGTCTACCACAGCAAGAGTAACTCAATATCTGCAAAGGTCATGATGTTTGGTTGTTTGGTTTTTGCTTAAAATAATCTTACTGGTGTGGAAAGATTGCTTCTTTACTCAGACTTGATCCTTCAAACCTTCAGAGAAGTGCATGCAAGAGAACGTAGTTCATATATTCCTAAAGTGTTCCGAGCCATATGGCACATCTTACTGACGTGAAATGAAATAGTCTGAGGAGAATCCTGTAAAAGAAAAAAAAATCTTTCTGTAGCAGTATGTTTAGCTACAAATCTTCATCTAGGTCACCGCATTTATAATTAGGAGTAGGTATTTAGGAAAGCTGCCAAGGACTTCTGAGGCAAATTTGTGCCAACTAGAATGCAGGGTTAACAGGAAAAAAACTCCCGTTTTCTTCTATTGTAACTGATTTTTAAATCTTTCCTACACTCAGGCTTCTCATGTATATTCATAAACCTTTGACCTGCAGTTCATTGTACTTTAACACCAACAACAACCATTCAGATTCACATTTTGCTTAATATGACTCAGGAGTTGGGGCCAAGCTAACAAACACTAAACTTTTCAAACCTGAAGTATCACTGTATTGAAGCCCCAATTGTAATTAATTATACTAACTTTGAGGCCATTCAGCTATGTCTATCTTGCACAGAATTTATAAAAGAAACCACCAATTTCTTGTAAATAATGTATTTTAATAGTGCTCCCCTGTACTTTTGTGATCTCTTAAGTCTGTAGTGGTGTTCACAACTCCTCTTCTATGTATAAGATGGAAAAACAAGCAGCTAATTTGAGCCAGCTGAGAAGCAAAACCAATTAATTCTGTCCTGTCCTCACCGGAAGGAGAGTAGTAGTTACGCTGTAAGACCTTCAATGTAAATTAAGGAAAATAGGAGACTCCTCTGGGCTTTTTCTTATCCTGCCTTTCATCTTTCCTAAACAGCACAATCTCTACCAACAGGAAGCTGGTCGCAGGCTTTAGCATTGTCTCTGAAGAAGAAGTGAGTAAAAACTGTCACTTACAAAAAGCAAATGAACCATGGAGCTGCTCAGTCCCATGGAAGGTGACATTAAGTAAAAAAGAAGTGCTCTTCCTGGCCTGTGTGTGAAATCACTCTTCAATCTCAGGAATGAAAATCTAGAAATGGATATTACCCCATAGAGATATGTAGATTGGGGGGTGGGGGAAGAAAGGAAATGGCAGAAGTGGTCTCTTCCTTCCTTCCTTCTTTCCTTCCTTCCTTTTTTAAGCCTAACCTCAGTGAGAACCTTTCCCAACTTGTCTTTTGTACAAATGGCTATTTAATGAATGTTGTCAGTAGCTATCTCTATCGGTTGCTGTAATAGACATTAAATAAGCTACCATTCAGTCCCCAGCAAATGATAGTGTATTGCCTGAATCACATGATCAAAGCAGGTGATATTTGGTACCATTGGTTACAATGGTCCCAAAAAAAAAAAAAAAAAAGGAGTTACAGTTCTCCAGAACTGAACCATCACTGAGTAATGAACAATCAGTTTGGGGATGGCCTTTTACCTGAACAGGAGGCTTGTGCCATCTTCTCAGCACAATGGTGTGATTTGCCCATGCAAAAGTTTGACTGGCTTAAATGCACTGAACTTCTCAATGGCTGTACATCCAGTAGAAGTTATGTTGAATGTGTGATATTAATAGGGTAGATTTAGTAGCAGGAGAGGTAATTCCACTGTCAACCTGCACTGAAAATGTGTATATTTGTTTGATAGTTAAAACCCTATGGCTAGCAAAATCCTGGAGCTCTTTGTAGGTTAGCTGTGGTCTGATTTCATGCATTCTCCCACTCACTGTCCATGTTCTTCTTTCCTTTTCTTCTCAGAGCTAGTAATATTGTGTGATTAGTAAACCAGCTGGTGATGATTTTTTGTAAGAAAAACAGCCACTGTAATGCTGCAAACAAAACTTTCCTGCATTAGTTTATGACATCACCTCATAGAAGAATGTACAAATTAAGTATTCACGATTATAACTAGTCTAATCATTTATTTTTATTTAATAGCAAAATTCAAATATTGTCAGAGAAGGCAGAGAAGGGAGACCTTTGAAAGCATAAAGTATTGTTTGGTTGGTTTTTGTTACCTGAATTTGACCGAGGTACAAATCATTTGGCTCCTCCCCACCTGAAATTATTTTCAGTGAATTTGCATATATATATAATTGTTTTTATATATATTTTATCATCTGGGTTTGACAGCCAGACCAAAGTAATCATACCTTTTACCCATCTTGAACTGCTTCACTTCCTATCCCACGCGGATACACTGATTATCGTATTATATAGGTTTGGGGATAACAAATATATGGAAATTATTAACAAACCTGCATGGGACACAACTCAATAGCTGCATGACAGATATGTAAGAGAAAGAAAGACACTGATCATGTCGTGGAAAAAATGACAGACTGCTTAATGCTGTGCCTCTCTCTGCATGTGCTGCTGCCATACCCACTTGCACTTCTCAGTGCTGTTCTGTAGGAGTATCAGGTTTAATAACTGGATGACAGCCTTAATTCACTGCAGGCCAAAATTAGGATCAGGATCATTCATATTGCCTCCATTTTGCTTACTAATGAGGGCAAATAAAAAGATCTGTAATGATCCATTGCTTTGTCTAAGAAATAACCGCAGGCTTTTTATGGGCTGTATAAGCATCCCCTGCCGTGTAACGCTCATTTTTTGTCCACAAGTCAGTCATTAATCATTTCATCAATATGATCTTTATATTTCCTGTTCTATTTTTTTAATGCAGGATGACTTTTCTTCCAGAAAATTCCTGACAAACATATACACATACACAAACACATACACAATTAAATAAAAAGGAAGGTTAGAATACATGGTGACATGTTTTGAGGGAATGCAGTTTGTTTTCATTACTGATTTGGTCACAGTGCTTTTTGTTGTATTTTCAAACATCTTTATTAGGAGAAAAATAGAGAGTATTTTGCAAGTGTTCATCACTTCTTTTGCAAAAATAAATAATGTAATTATCTAGTGAGTGCATCTTTAAAGTATGGTGCCAGGCAGCAAAGCTGAATAGTCAAAATAGCTGTGTCTTCCTATTCTCTGCCACAGTGATTGAAGAATTACATGATACAGCTCTGCTATGACTATACAAGGAATACACATCAAGAAGAATACACTTCAGAACAGATAATGTGATCAGTTTGTTTGGGTTTTTATTAAAACCTCCCAAGCTTGCTCCTACTTTCATGAATTTTATCTAGAACAGTCGTAACAAAATAACTGGCAATTCATTGCAGTCTTTAGAAGGGTTGATCTCCTAATGCATTTTTAAATGAGGTATGTGTAAAGACTCAGGAGCAACACATTCCTGACACATTTACTTAATGGGATTTCTTCTGAATGTATTGGTTGATTTTGTAAATGACTGGATAAATCCTACTGAAAGAAACTATTTGACTTATTCTTTCGCTTTTAAAATTATTCTGGAAGGTAATTTCGTGACAGCTAGTAGCCAATTTGCATTAATTGCTGCTGTAGAGATTTTGAAATGAAAATATTTGCTCTTTGACTTTCATTTTGTAATAAGACAGCTACATTTTGTTAAAACTGCTTTGATGCTTGCTGCACTATAACTTTAAAATAACGTGCTATCATTTGAAATAAGCCAAATGTATATGCTTTTTATGAGTTAGTGAGTGCAGTAAGAGAGAAATCCTGAACTTGTCAATAGGAACTTTTCCATTTCCTTGTTTGGACCTGGATTTACATGTGTAAGTTAAAAAATGCTACACGAGTCTAACAATGTTTTGCTTGAAACGAACAGCATGGTCATTGAGTTACAACCTCCTGTAGTTTTGCGGTGTCACTGAAACAGATACACTGTTTTATTTAATTTCTGTGACAATTCCATGTGAATCTGAATGTGCAGTAGTTCATTTCTTTTATTTAGAGTTATGACAGCTACAGTAGCTAATACACCACTACCATCAACGAAGGACCAAGTTTTGAAATGCTCTGTATATTAAATAATGCAAGGCTAAGCAGGAGAATTTGATGGTCATATTTTTCATCCATATCACTTCGTTTCTGATTTTTTCAAATTTATTTATTTTTAATACTGTATTTTTCCTTGCATTTTGTTGTAAATAAACTACCAACAGTTATTCTTTACAAGCGTAGCTGTTTTCTTTTACTCCATCTCCTGTGGCAAGGAACATATCCATTAACATTTCTGCCCCCAGCTCTACAAGTCACTTGCTCAAAATTAAGTTGCACAAAGAATTGTCATTGTAAGTGAAATTCAAACCGCTCAGGACATTTACTGAGGATGGAATCAGGTTTTGTTGCTCCTCAAGCTTTTTAAAGATTTTATCATGGCAGGTGTCACATCAATCTGATGTTAGCCCATTCATTTGTAAATGACCATTGAGTTGACCAGGGAAGTTCTTCAGTAGGGAAACATTTCTAATTCTTTATGCGGGGTTTGGCAACATGGTGTTTCAGTAAATACCGGAAAAGAGAACACTTGAAAACTGTCAAAAAGTAAGAATCCTGCATCACTTAGCCACAAATAATTTTGTTTTAGTCAACAGAAATTTCACACACAATGATTCTTTAAGTGTTTAAGTAGAGGATTACGCCATTGAAATTAAGTATGCACTGCACTGGAAGAATGGTAGTTGCTTTTT